CCCCAAAACCCCAAAACCCCAAAACCCCTTTACTGCAATAAAATTGAATCTACTTATTGACGTCAACACCTCCATATCCTCCCAGTGTGCCTGTGTTGTTCATGAACCCATGGGCTTTAAGCATTTTTACCATCGAAGAATTCCTCTTGCTTTTCATTTTTGTACTTAAGCTCTATAAGTCTTTTCAAGTAAATATACCATCTTTTTCTTCTTATGGATTCGGTCCATCGAATTATCAGCTGCACTATGAACACCAAAGTCATAATATTTTAAGTTATGACTTTTAGCATCATAGCTCATAAAGTGTTTGTGCTTGTTGGGTTTGGAATTCTTTAGTTTTCCTTTATGGCCTTTAGCTATACATTTAATCTATTTCAAAGACAAAGCAAAATAACCTACCATCCATTGGCTTTTTAGTCCCTCTGTAAACTATAGAATTTTGCACTGAATTGTAATCTCTGATTCTTTTTCTTTCCTCCGAGGTATCAGTATGCAAATGCTTTCCTCTCAGAGCAGATTTTATAGTCTTTCTTGTGTTGGACTTTGGCATTCCAACGTATTGTTTTAATTTCTCAAGATCGCCTTGGATATATGGAGATTTACCATCTTTTGTGAAGATTACACTTTTGTTAGAAATATGGGTTTGCTGCATTTTATCAGGAGATCTTGTTGAAGTAGCAGGGATAATAAACTCTTCACGACCTACATTAGCAGGGCCCTTGATATTTCTACTGTAAAATAATTGGACTGAATTTGAATTACTCTTGCGCCCACTATTTGGGTTAGCACTATTCACTTTATATTTGGTCTTTGATAGTATCTTCCCTTTAAAATTAGTCTCATTAATATTAGGAGTAATCCCTCCAGAGTGATATTTCTTGCTACGAATTGTATTAAATTCTTTTTCAAGTCTATTATAGTTTAGAGAAACTTCTTTCAAACTAGTTTCAAGGCATAGAATCTTTTCGATTTTCTCCTCTATAGATTTCTTGAGTGCATTGTTCTCTCCTTTTAACACTTTAGCTTCGCATTTCATTTTTGTTTCCATATCTTTCAGTTTAGCTTTTAAGGTTTTTATTTCATTACAAGTTTTATCGAATGCTTTCTCTTTATCTTCAAGCTTATTAATGACACTGTCTGAATGCAGCTTCATCTGCTGTTCGATCCTAATATGGTTTCTTATATCATTTTCATACTTCTGAATCACTTCTTCGTATATTGCAGGAATGTGAGTAAGGGAAGTTCTGTTGCTGAAAGGGATGAAAGAATCAGACGAATCTAGAACTTCTTCTAGCAAATCATCTTTCTGTGAGGAAATTGTTTTAAAATTTTTAATATCCTTCTTTACTTCGGTTCCTCCTGTTTCTCTTGGTCTTTCTTCCAGATTATCAGTTTCTATCCTCTCTCCTTTTTCTGAGATTTCTTTGGAGTCTTTAGCTTGTTCGTGCTGGCTTTGATCGGAGTCTTCAAGCCTCCTAGAAATCTCATCTTCATGTTTGACTGTCTTTTCTCCTAAGGCAGCTTGTTTTTTGAGAATTATCTTGTTCATTCTAAATGTAAAGATGCAGCTTACTTATTTGAGTTTTCTAACTTCATTCTGATGGACGAGGTAGTCTTCTACTTTTATATTCATTAGTATTTCTACCGAAGTCTGAATGTAGCTGATTAAATCTAGAGGACTTGTGACATACAAGTTATCCTTCTCTTTGCTTAAATCTTTTTCATCGTAATCTTTTATCTCGTCTTTAGATCTGACTTTGACGTTGAGGTAGAGATCAATAAGGGCTTCTTGAATAATAGCCATGGCGTCTATCATCTCATCATCAGTTTTACTATTGTCCATTGTCATTTGAATTTTTAAGTTTTCTTATTCTATTTAATTATTATTCCTCGGGGTTTTGGGGTTTTGGGGTTTTGGGGTTTTGGGG